TTCCCGCCATAAGCCCAGCCTCAGTTGACCAATTCTTACTTCGAGGTTTACACCAGTCATGCGCAATCGTACCATGACCATTAACGCAACCTCCTTAACGTAAAGGTCCAGAGGGGTCAGACCTGTAATTAATTCCATTGCCCGCGGTTGGTGTTGTTTTCATGGCTCATGTGATGTTTAAACAAGCCAGTCGCTGTATTTAATATAATTTTTGGATGGCCGTTGCTTGTAGAACTTTCGGTCCCCATGTGATGGCTCCGTACGTTAACATAGGTCTTATTATTGCAGTGTAGATCCAGGTGACCACACGGGGTGAAAGACCTCATGCGCGTCCCACTGTCCTCCGACACTGCTCATAAGCCACATATGCTCTTTTTGCTCTACTCTGTAGGTGAGAGTTCCATGTTAGCTTCCTGTCGAGGATAGTACCAAGGTATTTTATGTCTTCAGAGAAGTTTATTTTGCTTTTGAAGATTCCGGAAGGTGAGAGTTCCACGTTAGCTTCCTGTCAAGGATAGTACCAAGATATTTTATGTCTTCAGAGAAGTTTATTTTGCTTTTGAAGATTCCGGGAGGTTTTAAGCCCGATAAACATCTTTACTTTCTTCTTACTTCAATATGGTTGAATCACTCTGTATGTAGGTATTTTACTTTTATTGAGAAGTCCTCATTTTTGTGGTTTTTTTTGAATTAAAAAACACACACAAAAACATCTGAATTGTTTCGGTAAATTCAGTAGATATGATGAGCAGTAGCTCTGTGACGAAAATGGGTTTTTACAGTAGAATCTGAAGATTTGAGATCCACCCAAAGAAAAACTGATCTGTTTAATAACACAATTCGACAACTCATCTGTAAACAGACGATCGGTGTTCATTTTACTAGGTAGTTTGACAAAATACGAATTAAAAAGTAGGTTATCTATTGCAAGTTGACATCGACCAATTCAAATAATAGGAGTAGTTTTTCACAATACCTACAGAAAATATCGCTAAGAATTCAATCACCGAGTTCACGTATATAATAGCCCAGGATATAATCCGAAGTAAAATGGAAAATAATTGCGCTTGTTGTATGGGGAAGCTAAATGAGTATTATTGCATACGCTGCTTGAAAGTGTACCATTTGAGTTGTTTGAACAAACTGAAAGATTTCATATTATTGGCTGGTCATAAAATTTACTGCTCACAAGGATGCAAAGACAAGCCTCCAGAAACATTGACTTCCCGCAGTGAATTGCCCATTGAATTGGATGACCGGAGTGAAGTTGAAACAGAAAGGCTTATTCATTCGATACACCATAGAATCGAGGAATTAGAAAGAGATGCTAGGGAAAAAGACGGTTTGTTGAATAAGCTTCAAGCTGACCTGCTAGAAACCGAAGAAGGAACACTGAGCGAAACTAACCAAATGATAATAGATAGGTTGTTGGAGAAATTGAAAGAAAAAGATGATACGATCGATAAATTAAATGACGAACTTCGGGCGAGCAAGATGAACACTTACAAGTCTAAAGATAGCGTCTCTTTCTTGAAGCGGACGAAGAAGCCAAGTTTACGTACCGTGTCTAGCGTAGGGAGTGACGGTGGTGACATTCCATGCGTTGACGAAAATGGAGAAAGGAAAAGGATTGTTGCTGTATTTGGAGATGAGAGTGCAGAAGACTTGACAGGGCCCTTACGACAGTGTTTAAGTTTTTGGAACTATCCTCGTGTGATGAATTACGGTGAGAAGGGATGCACTCGTGATTATATAGTAGATTACATCATAAAGCTCTCAAAATCGATTTCGATGAAATTCAACGCGGTCGTCTCGTTGAATTTGGATTACACCAAGTGGCTCGACATGCACGCCGTTGACATACTGTCCTCGCTCGGTAAACACGTCTATCTTTTTTTGTGTATCAAGGGCCGATGTCTGATTCAGCTTTATGAAATCAAGAAAAGGGTCGAGCTGTTCAATATCATCTCTAGAAATAAGGTTGTGATAATTTGTGAATTTCAAGACGATTTGGGGTACGAGTACAGAGAACTGTCGCTGTGTGATCATCTGGCTGCTCATATCAGCCATCCGCAAGAGCAAATTGATGTTTTCAAAAGGAGAGTAGTAAGTTGTGAATTATCCCCGAACACCTCTAAAGCAAAATTTCATCTATACTCTGTCCAACTAAGCATCTAAGCTCCAAAACATTATCATGCACAGTGCACGTGAGCTCCCAGACGAGGCTGCTTGTACAGAGTCGCACTAGGGAACGACCGAAATATTATTTTTTTAATAATATGCGGCTGGATATAGGAACATTTTCTAGATGGAGTGTAGGGCACAAATTAGCAGTTTCTTCGGCCGTGTCAGTACTTGGATTTTTTTTTAATTCAAACTTTAAAATACCACAGGCGTTAAAACGTAACTGACCACTCCGACACCGTAACAATGAATTCTGCCGGCCGATTGCAGTTGAATCTGATTAGCCAACGTAAAAAGGCTTGTTTATCTTACCCAATAGATGCAAATGTGCGTGGTGGTCATGCTTTGATCACGCATCTATCTTTGTTTGATTACTTTGTTTGTTGGATGGATATAGATATTATCTCCATTTCTCATAATGAAAAATATATGTTTGTGCATCGTTACACAAAAATATATCTTTTTCTTTGCTCATATTAATTTTTTAGCTTATTCGAAATAACCATATTTAGTGGACATTCGCGTAAAATTTAAAACAGTGTGATTTAAATTCACAATAGGAAAATAAGTTTTACTGAATCTACTTTTATCAGTTCAACGATCTTATCAAATATCACAATAATTTCGAATATTCTGCAACTCTCAAGCTTCTTGGACTTTATATTGAAAACATCGTTTTCTTGAAACTGATACATTCCCTGATGATTATAATAATAATAATATTTATTCACCATTTGTGATACATAGCGTATATATGGTAGGTCAATGATAATTTACAAAAAACAGTACGTCACTTATGAATAAAATTATGGAATCAAAGCTTAAGTAAAAATTAATATTTGCATATACAAAGGTATAGGTACATAGATATATAAAATGCTAATTAAAAAATTAATAAAAAATGTGGCAATTTTGCTTGCCATAGTCAAATAAATATACATATGTATATATTTACATATATACATATATTTACAAACATGTACACACATATTTAAAAAAAAAACTATAAAATCGCCAGTCAGAACACTGAAACTAAAGCAAAACAGCAAGTGAAAATTTAGAACGATTATATATATCTTATTATTCTTCTGTGAAAGAATCCTCTAAATATTCCTTATGACTGTAGTAACATTTGTCAAGTAATAAGTTTTTAACTTTCTTACTGAACAAAGTTGAAGAATTCAACCTCTTTATAGAAAGTGGCAGTCTTTATAAAAATTTATGGCATTATATAATGGAGATTTTTTGAAATGATCACTCTTATGTGAAGGGACCCTCAGAGCAGCAGCATGGCGAGTATCACGTCCGTGAATGCTCAAGTTCGTTATATACAAGTCCAAGGTTCCTGTGCACAAAAATGACACATTTCATTATATAAATTGCGGGTGCAGTCAACAAGCGGTCTCTTTTGAAAACGGGTCTAAAACTTTCTTGGTACCCCAGGTTGAATATCAATCTTATCAGTCGTTTTTGAGAGATGAAAACTCTAGAAAATTCCTTTGCACATCCCCAAGCCATTATGTTGAAACTAATGTTGGAGTATGCATTCGCAAAGTAAACATTTAGTAAACCAAACCTATCTAAACAATGTTTTAACTGTTTGATCTAATAATAAGCGGAATGGAGTTTACTGCACACTTTTTGTATGTGACTTCTCCAGGTGAGATTCTCATCTAAAATAGTTCCAAGAAATCGATTCAAATTCGAATTCGATTCATGATGCCATGAAAATTTTTATCATTGATAGTTCTTCTTACCTCACATCAATGAGGGTTCATTTATTTTCAAACTCATAAGTATGCTAATATATTTAAGATGAAATTTCCTATATCTGATTGCACTTTCGGCTAATGAAAAAATGCCCAGAGCCAACTTTTTTGTCTAATCTCGAAAACATTTTCATAGTACGACTTGTATTTAGCCTCAAAATAGGCTCCAGTTTCGATAAGCTTCCCTTGAGATCCGAGAACAGAAAAAAAGTCACTTGGGGCTAGATCTGGAGAATACGGTGGTTGCGGAAGCAATTCGAATCCCAATTCGTGTAATTTTGCCATCGTTTTCACTGATTTGTGACACGTTGCATCGCCTTGATGCACCGTGTCATATTCCAAAATACTGATACACATAACCTCGCCAGCTGACTGTTGCATCTTTGCACGCCTCGGAGTTGGTTCACAACGTGCAGTCCACTCAGATGACGATCGTTTTGATTCTGGTGTGAAATTCTGGAGTCGTATTTCATCCCTTGTCGCATATCGACGCGTTAATTCGGGTTGTTTATGGTGGAACAGATTCAAAAACTGCTCAGAATCATTAAATCGTTGTTGTTTCTGGGTCGATTGCGAACTCCCGAGGCACCCACTAGATTAATTTCACTTTGGGTTGTCCAAAATTATTTTGAGGACTATTTTATGTTTTGGTCGGTAACAGCCTCGTTGGGGCGTCTAATGCGTGTTTCGTCCTCGGTGCTCATTTCATATAGTTTAAATTCAGCAAACCACTTCTGATTTTCCTGGTGCAAAGTCAGAATAATGTTTATCAAGCCAAGTCTTAGCTTCAGCAGTATTCATTTTCACCTGAAAGCAATGCTTTATTAACACACGAAATTCCTTTTTATCCCGTTCAAACTAACAAAAGTTGTTTCACTCAAAATGTTTTATCCCACAAACTAATAGTCCTGTAGCTGTGAAATATCTACATGTATCTTTTGAAGGTCAGGGTTAACTGAAATACGAGTGGCATGTCCCATTTTGAAGAAGCTTTTTATCTTTCAATGAAAAAACCATTTTCCTTAAATTTGGTTATTTCTGCCCTAGTTTGAACTGAGGGAAATCAAGAGGAAACAAGAAGCCGCCCAAGCCGAAGAACGAGCAAGGCGAGAGAAAGAAGAAGCTGAAAGGTTGGCAGCTCTCGCTGCAGCACAACCGAAGGAGATCGAACAAATCACTACAGACAGACCCGATTCGAGTGCGCAAGCTGTGGAGGAACGACCAGGTAAGAAACTTTTTTCCGAACTGTATTTAATTATACAACTATACGATTCAAACCAATGTTATTGGAGGTTTTGAAAGTTTTTGTAGAGAGCATACAAAGTAGCAATCGCGATTTTCGATTCTCAACTGGGATCCTGTTGGAATTATTTTTTGAAAATCACATTTTGAAAAAATTTAATATATCACATGAATATGATACATAAGCCTCATCTCAAATAACGGACACACTTTTTATTTAATTGATTTCAATTCAGAAACCAACTTTGTATAAATACGTTTTTAATAGAGAATTTTATGTAACATTGGGTAATTGTGTGGAATTTCATATCTGTTTTAATTTATTCCGTCTATATGAGTTATGATTCACTTATTCAAAAAACACTTTATTGTGAGATGTTCGCTAAATGATTTTATAAAAACGCAACACGTGTTTCACCATACAATGGCCCTTCACCATACAATAACCCTTCGAGGACGGAATTTAATTTTTTTTGAAAAAAACAAACTTTTATGGAAAAATGTATTGATTGATTTATTAAGTCACAAAGTAAAACAAAAAAAAACGTAGGATCGTGACAAAAGAAAAAAATATGATATGGTTATTTCAAGTGACCACTAGGCATCATCTAGTTCCGATGAAAGCCATAAAAACAATTTTTATTATTTTTGACACATAATCCCACATTGCACGTAGAACACTTCCAAACGTGGTGTGGTTCTCACTATGTACCCAGACTTTGTAGCCCCTTTTTATACGTTTTTTAGGTATATACTGGCATAAGCTGTTTCTTCTTTTGTAGCGGGAATTGGAATTATATTAGCAACCTTCCAAACATCTGGAAAAATACAGTGTGGTATCACTAAAGAAATAATCTTGATATTTATATTGTCAAATATACAGTTTTGGGCAAGAGCCACAAGTCAGCTTATATACTCCTGATCTATTCGGCACCAAAGTTTTGTCTTCATTGTTTTTAATAAATTTACTTAGACTATAAGCTACGTTTACCCATTTTTTCTTCAAAAATCAGGCAATATTATTGGTTAGTTCACCCAAATATGACAATGTCCTATAACTGACGTTATCGCATCTTGAATTTGGATAGACCAGGTCCATGCATTTTTTTTGTAGTTTTTTGGAAACAGGGGAGTATATAATATTTACCTTATAACCGTTGTTAACCGCGATTTGTTCGATCAAATTCAGCTCTCTGAAAATTACTCGCAGACAGTGGAATATTCAATAGTCAGTGAAGCATACTATTGAATGCAGCAACTTTATGCTGGTACGAGTGTAAAATCGTTTGGTAAAAATCTCACAATAAAGTGTTTTTTGAATACGTTAGTTATGGATTTTCATCAACTATCGGCCAGTTCCATCATATATAGTTATGATTCAACTTATTCTATGGCTTGTATGGTCTAAGCCGCTCACATCATGGATATCTGAATTAACTCGCCTTTCAACAGAAATTGCAACAGCATCAAACTTTCATAATATTTCATATTTCAAATTGATTGAAAGAATTTTAAGTATTTGAGACGATCCCAGTATATAGAACGCAGGTTTTTTATTCTTCAATATTTGAAAGAGTCGTCTGTATATCTTACAAAATCTCTCATACATCAGTAACTTTTGCAAAGAGTTTGTTGGAAGAAATGGGCAATTGTTATTCTCAAAATTCCTGTCAACTTGAAACATTCCCGATCAAATAGGCAAATGAACCATTGAAATTAACATTTCACTGGTATTGTTAGTTCTGAAACATTCCTTCCACAGATATAAATACAATTTATTATGTATATTTGTGCATAACTTCATTGGGAGTACTTACAGCAGACATTAGAATTTGCAACATTGATGAAGGATTCCGAATTTGGACGATTTATTCCTATTCAAATGAGTTTGCATGATTTATTTGTGAATTTTATTTATAGTGAGATACACTGGAATAATATTTTTTGTGGGAAAAATTCCACTAAGCAACGACAGGTAGAAATTATCTCGCGTTCAATACTACCAACTTAGGCATCTGAGATGTAGTTTTTTGGGAGTATTTTTCAAAAGATTAAAACATTGCAAATTAGTCGCTATACATCGAAGTTATGCATTGAAATGAGATGGTAATTTTGAGAGTAAAATCACACTATTTTTGAACATTTCTTCCAACAAATCAGTGCCACCATCAATTTTATAAATTTGATATCACATTTTGAGAAAATATATTTATAATCGTTATAAACAATGGGTGCCGGAATGTTCTACTATATATTTTAAAACTTAATTAACGCAGCTGGGGAAAGGAAAAGGTCTTCTGTTAAAGCTGTATCATCTCCTGGTGAAGGTAAAGAGCACTGTACAAATAATGGCACTCCCCACGAGAAGGATCGTCATATTTATCTCAAAAAAAATTTCATATGGAAATGACACAGATGTAAATTGATAGTAATAAAATATTATTTTTCACTATCATGGTACTGTGATAGTGATTTATGTAAACACTGTTGTTGTTGGTCATACAGATTTTTTGGGATATTTAAAACTGATCCTTTTTCTTAGAACACACTATATATACTGTAATTACAAATATTAGAATTCTTATTGCTGTTAACAGGTGATGGTTTCTATTGCTTTTGTTTATTGTGATTGATGATTCTTATGCAACAAATAATATTCACTTCGTTGAAATAACATTGATCCTTCAATTGTTTTCACCATACGTAAAGTATATACTTTTCTTAGGCCATGTAATATGTACATAACTTCATTTGAATTTGTTTCACCAATTCAAATAAGGTAAATAAAGTAAAGGAATGGTGGCTGAATCATTTCCTTATTAACACGTGAAGGTAAGTACGTGAATGCTTTTTTTGCTTAAATGCATGCAACAGCTTGTCATCTCTGCTTCTGATTTTTTCTTTGATTTTTTTTTTGTACCTTTCATTATTTGAAATGCGCAGAAACTTCATTTAGAATGAATTATAGTGTAAGTTCAAATGTCTCATTTTACTTGATGGAAAGTAAGGTATACGATTATATCACATGGACAGCGAAAACCGCATGGACTAATGACTAGTTGAATAAGTCAATTGTTGAAATTCCTCAACGATGTAGCGATTTCTGTCAAGATAAGTTTCCAATCGTGATTTAAAAGTTGAAGTATTAAAAGAAATTTTCACATTCGTATCAAGCTTGTTAAGAAATTTAGAATGAAAAGAGAATATTTTCAGGGAAGAAAGAAAGGAAAGAAAAACTTTTTCTTTTGTGTCCCTAATTCAGTGTTCATGTGAAAGTAGTTGTTCTCGAACTACTACTTATGTATGCCCTTCATATCTTTATGAAGATATATATGTAACAATATTTTTTTGTATTTATTTTCTTTTCTCTTTATGGAGAAATAGAAAGGCTAAAAACTTTTTCCCAAAATAAAGAATATCAAACAATATTTTTAAATTATTATGCTTTTGTACTTTTTCTATTTTCTCAGATATTTGGGTATTTAATGCCATCTAAAGTGAAGTTATTTTTTTTAATTATTCATTTATTTACAGTCGCATTGACTTATAGCGACTTGTCGATATATTTATATGCTTCTTCAAGATTAAAATAATGAACCGCAATTTCAATGTTGTTAGGATATCAAGGCACAAAGTAGTTTTTTGTTTTCTCCAGACAAGTCTTTTATTATTATCGTGTTACTGTAGCATTTTTCGTTGCATTCTGATTTTTTCATTTTAGAATTTTTAGCAGTAAATAAGTTGTGTCACCACAATATTCTGCTAGTTTTTCTATTAGGGTCGATTAGAGAAAATTATTTTTCAAATATGTTCTGTAGAACATTTACTTTCGAAAACTTGTATATAATAGAAATTTTCCAAATTAACCGGACTCAAAGAATATTTCGAACATATAATTTCACCTGCCACTAAAAAATTGTTGATTTGTTGATCTATCTTTTTGAAAATACTCGTATCATAGCAATTTCAATTTTGATTCAACGACTTTTTTTAACATTTGTATCTCATATTGTAGTAGTGAAGTGTTGTAATTCTATATTTTGCACAGTAAATTTGTTGCATGATTTTTTTTATTAACGCATGAGCATGTTCTGTAGTGCATGGTGAACGCCAACCCAGACCAATGACGTTACCGACTCCAACATCGTCACCTTCTCCAAAATCACCACGCTCACAAACACGTAAGTATTTTGTTTGGTTAGTTTTGATTGTGTATCTGTTTTAAAACGATTTTCAGAAAGAAATAATCAACTATGTTACATTTTAAAATAACCGTGTGCTACAATAACCGACATGGTAATTGCCAGGAAAATCTTTTTTATTTACCTAATTTTTCGATCTTATGAAGGTGGATATTTACCTGTCATTACATTTTCAAAGCAGTTTTTATATGCTACTCGAGACAACAAATTATTATTACACATGCAACATCAATACCTGTCGCGGTAAAACACATACTTTTAAATAGTATCCTTCACTTATTATACAAGTAAAACATTATTAGGTTGTTTCAAAAGTTTTGCCCGTGAATAATTTTTCATTTGAATCAATGCACTTTGGCCAACGTAACACAAGTTGACTAATTCCTGCAGTATAAAAATTGCGTGCTTGGGATTTGATGAAGTCGACGAAGGCCGTTTTCACCTGGACCTCATTGGAAAGTCCAACAAAAAAAGATTGTTTTGGTTGCGCAAAAGCAAAAAAGAACGAACTTCGAAACGTGACAATTTCTGTCGATCGTTCAAATCGTGGGACACCTTTCCAATTTCTTTCAAATCGTCAAAAGCGGCATGGGAGCTGACGCTCAGTTCTTCGCCATCCCACGCAACGTTTGTGATGGGTCAACCTCCACCAGCGTCCTCAATTCGCCGTCATGGCCGACCACTTCGGGCCTCATCTTCGAGACTAAAATACCCGGAACGAAATTTCGCAAACCAACGTCGAACAGTTCGTTCATTAATACCATCATTGCCAAACGCCTGGTTAATTTTTCGGGCCGTTTCGTAGAGGAAAATTGACCAAAAATCGCTTAGTCATAAGCTGAAATGAAGCAAAAAATCAAAATTTAAAAAAAAAACGACATCAATGTAGAGTAGAGTAGAGCAACATTCTCTATCGATCAGTATATCAGTAGAATGGATATTTATTGAATTATGGAGTCACAAAAACACGTGGCATTAAAACGGACAAAATGTTTGAACTAGCCTAATTAAAAAAAAAAATCGCAACATGTTTCGCTAGCACAGTAGCTTTGTCAAGTGATTGAAATCATATGTTGTGATATATTTTTCAAATAAAGTTTGTGAAGATTAAATCGTGAGGTGTAGTTTTTGAAATTACTATGGATCTTCATCAAGTAACGGCCGAATCAATCAGAAAAAAACCTGCAGACCACGGTCAACAACCCGGAAAATGTCTTCGTCACGTGACAGCTCTTATTTGGTTGATACCTTGCACTCGGTACATGTGAGACGGATAGCTATACAAAACGTAAGTCGAGGTCTAAATACATCAATTGATGATATACCACTATCGATTGGCAGTTCAATGTTGTGTTTTCATTGTAAAATTGCTACCTTGAGTTGGGAATGACGCCAAATGTTTTACATACTAGAACTACGACATATCGGAGTTAGAATATTAATCAGAAAATAAAATGTATTCTTAAAATAATGTAACAAATCAAAGAATTAACTGTCTTAAACAAATTTATTTATAACAGTTAGCAACTAACGCTTAATTTATTTCCACTATTCGAATTTCTTGTTTAGCCGCTCGATTCCATTTCTGAACTGCCCTCTTGGGTCGGGTGCTTATATAATATAACGGTCCTTTCTAGAAATCTGTAGTCGGTTCGGTTCTAGAGTTTTACCGGCGATTCCCGACTGCATTCTTTTGCGGTGATGTCACGTGTTTGTTCGCTGAGTCGGTCGGCATATCGGTCAGAGGTGGTTTCAGATTCGTTACAATAATAATCAAAGTGCTGGTGAGCTTTATAAAATGGTAGGAACGTGGTTTTTTTATTACTTTGTCAACTTATTTCGGTTGCATAATTGGATGACGCATGTGTAAACATTTGTAGTCCATACTGTACTCACCATGTAAACATTTTCTGGAGACAGATATTATATCTTGGGCCAACATAAGATTGTCCTATGAGAAAACACTTTTTTCAGGAATAATTTATTATATCAAGTATATCTCTTTTCCAGTTTTAGTTGCATCTAGTGTATGTCTTCGTCAGGTTTACTTTTATTTAATAATTCAAACTACTGCTTTGAAACGTGTATATGCTCAGATATTTTCACAGAAAATGTTCAGTGAGATTTAATTCTTGTATTAACTTTTTCAATTTATAATATCTTGGATAATTATCATTATCATATCGAAATTTGATATCTGTGAAGTGTCACTTGATTATTTGAATATTACTGGAGTTCTGTCCCAACATCAAACCGTTATTTTCAACACCTCGACACGTGTTTCGGTCACTAAGTGATCATCTTCAAGAGGAAGATTAAACAGTTCAATCTTCCTCATGAAGATGATCACTTGGTGATCGAAACGTAGGTCGAGGTGTTAGAAATAACGGTTTGGTGTTGGGATTAAACTCAGGTAATATTCATTACTACACCAACGGTTCCAAACAGTGCATCAAAACTTGATTAGTTCTTTCTGAAATTCATCTAGTACGCAGCTTCGGACGGATCAAGTTGTGTTTTGCTTGTTGTATTGTGTTTGTTGCTTTATTCGTTCGTTTTTGCAAGTATCGAGATCGGAAGAGAAAGTCAAGAGAAAAGATCGGTCTCGCAGCAAATCTCCGTTCAGAAGTTTCCGTTGGAAACGATCTTCGAAAGCTTCCGGAACTCACAGCGATGACGAAGGTGCATCGGGACTTACTGCTACATCAACAGGTATTTTTGTGTGAATTCTTTCAACTGTTTTGTAATTCAACAAAGCTATTTTACGAGATATACAGAAAATCGGTTGATTTAAGAAAGGATCAGTCTCCAATATTATTTCCATATCTAGACTGGTGCATATGGACTTGAAACTAACTATATATTTCTTACAGCGATAGTCACAAATTAAGAAGTCGTCTTAGAACTACGACTGTTCAAATAATAAAGTGAATTTTTATTTTTCTCAAAATTTATTCATCAATTTCTGTTTTGTCTCCTTCGAAGTAGTCCAGTGAGTAAAACCTTGACGTTCGTTGTAGGTTAGGTTAGGTCCAAAGTGAGTGGGTCTATTCGACCCTCCAAAGCAACCCGCAAGGGTTTATTGTGGCTCACACATATTCACACTCGACCAAATAAACCCAGCTTCTTAACGAAGCCCATTAGTTTGTATGGTGAGTGGTCTTTCAGTTGAGATGGTAAGAGTACGGCTCTGCCGAACTGTAAAAACCTGATTCGGTCTCCAGCGAGGTAGTCAAATAGTATATGCTCCGCTGTTTTATCGTTTGTTCCTCCACCTGAGACAGATTCTGCGTACGCCGCTCAAGAATTTGGTGCAAGGCGGTTTCATAAGGTACCCCGCTCTTAAGGAGACGACTCAGTCATTTCCTGGCTGCACCACCAAACCTTTTTTTTTTCAAGTTCAGTTATTGGTTCAGGAGTTGGAGAGTTGAAAATCTCTCGCTCCTGATCTAAATTTACAGGGAGGTCAGTTGGAGTCGTAAGCTCGGCATCCATCTCCTCTGTAGGCTCAGCGTCAGAACAAATGTTTAAGTTTACTCTGTCCATAAAAGTTCCACGAGTAGCTAGGGAAAGAAGGTCAATCACGGCAGAGCCCCGCATTACCGTGACAAGGCGATGCTACGACGAGAGGGCGCCCGGTATCTCGAAGGTTCCGTAGAGACAGCTGATAGGCTCAATGTGATTGATGCTCTCGGCACGGATACACACACCTTAGGATTGAGCCATCGTTGGAATGCCATTCAGTCAGAACCACAAGTGATTCTGTCATTCCCGTATCCAGCGGGGCTACGTGGAAGCAGCACGATAACCCAAGTCAGTCATGAATTGTTACATGTCAGATTGACAATGCTACGCCGACGATTCACGTGCAATATCCAAGTAGCCCATCGTCGGTGTTTCCCCTAACAACAAAACTGAATTCCAATTAGCGTTAGCAGTAAGTTAGTTTTGTAGAAAGAGGGATGTTATGAGAACTATGTCAACGAACATACCTAGGTTGACGAACAAGGAACAGACCGAGGTTAACGACAGACTAGAGTCGTTAGTGGTACCAAAATGATGTATCTTGTTTTATTATATTAAAGTAGTTTATTTAAATACATGATTGTATGACTAATACCAAGAATATAACATGGCTGTCAACGAAAATAGTTTTATTGTTGATTGTTATACTATAAACAGTTCAGATTTATTAAATATTGAATATAATACACCTCCAGAAATTGTTCAGAAGGCAATAGATGTTTGCAATAATTTGCTACCAAGCACATCAAGAGAAAAATATGAAATCGCTTATAGAAACTTTATGGACTGGAAAACGAAAGCCAAGGTAAATTCTTGTTCCGAAAATACCTTGTTAGTTTATTTTGAAGAGCTGTCAAGAAGATTGAAATCATCAACATTATGGTCTCAGTACTCGATGCTGTACCTTAATTGTTAAAAAATGTGTTGGTATATCAAAATACGTAAAAACTACGTGCATTTTTGAAACGCAAATCTGAAAAATACTAGTTTAGTTAATGCAGGGGCAGATCTTTTAACTTTAAAACGCCATGGAGGGTTGGAAATCCAGCAATGTCTGCTGAATCTGATATCGACAACTCCATAGCTAAGAAAATGAAAATTTCAAAAAGTATAATAGAATCCATTCAGCCTCTAGCACCAATAGAACCAGAACACAACAATGCTGTGGAAGCTCAGTACATTTCCCCATCAACTTCAACTTCGACCGCAGCTAATATTTCAATTACCAAAAACATGTTTAAACAAAACGACCTACCAGGAATTACTTCACAAAATTGTTCGAACTGTTAATTACTATTTCAAATAAAATATAAAAATGAGTTAAAGACATACAAGTATTATTATATATGTATTTTAATTTTCAATACTTGAAAACAACGCAACCATAGAAAAAGTACAGTGTACAATGCGTGAGAAAATGACATATTTCTCACTCGCTTGATTTCAATCTGTTTCCGCGACCCACCCAAATTGCTCCCGCGACCCATAGTTTGGAATTAAATTATCCTTTGCACTTTTTTGTTTTTTCCAAAATCACAAGGGTAATATTAATTTTTTCAATATATATGTAGTATTGTTTGTTATAGGATAGTTGAAAACTTTTTTTGTAAATGTTTGTCTGTGTTGTAGAAGCCATTCATTATATTGTTGTTCATAAAAGCAATAGAAATCATGTGCCATGTCGCATATTATTATGTATTAAGTGTGCTATTTTTGAAAATGTTTTTTAAATGTGATGTGATCTGACATTTGATATTTTTTGGAAAAAAGAACTACACCGTAAGCAGAATATTTTTTGGCGATATCCAAAATAATTTCAAAGTTTTACAACTTTTAGATGTCATATGTCAGTTTACATACAAAAAGGATATGGTGGGATATATTTGAAAAAGTGTCTATTTTAATCAGTTGAATACTTTAAACAGGAAATCTTTGGTTTGGTTGTAAAGCACTGTTTTGTTTAACTAACTTGTAAGCAATTTTTTACCTGATCTATGAACTCTATGGTTTCTGAGAATATTGATAAATTTTAATCTCAAAACTATTGAATAGAAAGTTGATAGACATCAATTCAATAACCAATGCTCACAAAACTTACTTATTCAGTCAATCAGTAACCCTAGATCTTTGATATCGTTGCATATTTGTAAGTATAAATGTTGAATGGAAATTCAACTTTTTCTTCTAGAATAACTGCATTTTCCTGCAGTAAATTTCAACATATTACCATTACATTGAGCATTAAGAATTTCTAACACTTGACATTTTTCCTTATCCGACTCTCATAAATCCTTTTAAAATTCTCATGAATGCCTTCAATGTTTAGAACCAGGCAGCGTTGGAGACGAAGAAGGTTTCGAAGGCACCCTAGTCCGTAAACACGAATGGGAGAACACCACAACTAAATCGACGAACAGATCATGGGATAAGGTGTACTGCGTCCTGAAGGGCTCTCAGCTTTCCTTCTACAAGGACAACAAAACGGCTAAATCGACGCCGGACCAGCGGTTCAAAGGTGAAGCTCCTCTCACGTTGCTGAAGGCCGTAGCAAATGTGGCTCAGGATTACAAAAAGAAGAAGCACGTATTTAGACTGAAGTAAGTTCCATTTTTTTTTTTTGGAAACTTCTCAAGTTGCAAGGCATTGAATCATAATTCTCGAAAGCAGTAAGGTTTTGAGTTCTTTTTTGAGGCACGAATAATCTAGAGAAATCTTTTGCTCTACTCCAAGCCATAATTTTTAAACTGATGATAATAAACCATGGCATGATAAATACTGAAAAAACCACATTCATCCAAGTTGGATGATGGCAAAGTAAAATTCATTTAATTTGGTACAAATAGTCTATTTTTCCGATGACAAAAGTGTTGCTAAAAGGTCTGTTAGCTTTTTTTTGGTCCGAATGTTTTTTGGGAGTGTAATTTTAACTGTGATTTGATCATGATTATTAAAATTGTAGTATGCTTCTGGCAAATACCACTCGTTTAGATATATAGTACTTTTGTAGATTTTATCAAAAAGAAAATCAAAAGTATATTTTGTTTGAATGTTTGATTGATTGATACTCACAGGCTAGACGATATCAATTAACAGATACTGTAAAGATTCAACATCTTGTGACAAATTTACTAAAAATATCCGATCACTCAAATATTTGTATTTCTCTTAAAAGTATTAGTTTGGAATGATTGAAAAAGAAATGAGGAAATACATTTCCAGTTAACTTTATTTTTCCATGGAAACATTTGAAATATTCAATAAATTTAAATTAAATTATTGGTGTTCAAAATTAGGTTGTAAATCAGAAAATATGATGGTCAACAAATTCATGAAAATAGAGAGCTATGTGGAAATCATTAAAAGAATTACTTAACGAAAAAAAAGTCATAGACATCTTATCAAATTTGACAAACAAGTTCTAGAAATTTATAAAAATAATGCAAATGTTTTCAACATATATTTCAATAGTATTTATAAGGTTATCCAAAAAGTGTATCATCGTTTCATAAAACCATAATTTTTAAATTTAATTTAAATTTCGTGAATTTAAGACAGTATCAATGGTTGTACTAAAATTGATTTTAAAATTACTGAAGAATACTTTTGACAGAGATGTTATCAATTTACATGTAATTGAATTAACATGTTGGATTACTCCAAACTGGTTTTTAGATATAATTTATTTACCATTTTGTAAACGAATATTGGAAAACATCGACAATCATTCTGATACAAAAAAATCATTACTTGTATATGTTTAGAATTTGGACCAGTAAATATGTTACCAGTTCATCAGAACTCTTGGAATTTTATCACATAATGGAATTATGAATATATTTCTTCAATAATTATTTATTCAGTATTACTGGAGTTTTTTCCCAACACCAAATCGTTATTTTTATCACCTCGACACGTGTTTCGATCACAAAGTGATCATCTTCAAGAGGAAGATTAAACTGGAAACTTCCCTAAGCTATCGCTATTTATGCTATAGTAAACCATTCAGGTATACCACACCTAAATTAATTTTACAATTTGCCTTATCTATTATTTTACAATATGTCCTTATGTAATGTTTAAATGTTATAGCTATATATAGAACAATTTTTAGATATATAAAAAAATTAATTTCACAATATTGCCTATCTTAAATTTATTTTTACCATGTGTACTTAGGTAGTAATTAGTAAACCCAATAATATTATTTTAACAAGCTATATAGTATGCTATTTGGTATTGGCCCGTCATCGTTATTCATAATATTATTATGTTTACTTATTTCTACACTCTCATAGGCATCTAGTTGCCTGTTGTTGTTAACTTGTCTAACTAATCTTAGTGAACTGAAATCTATGGAATGGTTTTGTTGCAAAATATGATGGGCGACTGCTGATTTTTCAGGTCTTCCATATTTTAAGTGTGCTATGTGTTCTTTATTCTTCGATAGATATTTTTGTCTGTCCATATTATTTTGCATCGCAGTCCTTACATTCAATTTCGTAAATTCCAGACTTTTCCGAATCAACTTTTGTCTTTTGGACTTCCCAAAAGGCTCTGTAGTGTGTGTATACCTAATTCCTTGAAAATTTTTCCAAAGTTCTTTGTATATTGGTGGTATTTATTTATCTTGGTTTTTGTTCTTTCTGAAAGTCGAGATTTCGTTCATTCTTGACCTAAACTTCTTCCTTATGTCATCTACAATCACCTACAATTTATTGATTGAACATAATTCAAGATTTAGAAAATCACAGTGGTGTGAAACAGCCTTGCAACTATTAATACCGCGTAGAAAAGGAGATATATCTGATATAGAATGTATGGGGTGATGATATTTAGGTTTCCAAAGGGCATTTGAAACAATCAAAGTGGAATTATTATCCTCAAAAATAAAAAAGAATGGTATAATGGGTAATGTTTTAAAAAATGGTTCAAAAGGAAATAAATAGTGAAATATAATGATAAGGATTCAGAAAAAACTTTAAGAAATATTAGAGTACCACAAAGTTCAATTCTGGGACCAAATTTCCTCATAATTTTAAATATGACATTGTTACAAAGGTGAAGAGATGTAAAATGAAGTTATTTGCTGATAATACTCGTACAATGCTGTATTATGCAGGTACTCTAGAAGAAATAAACTTCGATATTCTCTGTTTAAATCTGTTTAAAATCTGTTTTTCCGTTAATCAGCTGTCGCCCCCATACGAACGACAACTCTCAAAAGTTGAGAACTTGTACGAGCTAAGGACTAACGAGGTCTTACCTTTTAACGTGTGATTCCTAACATATTAATTCCAATCTCTTAAATATTGATACATGGGTTTCTGGTAATGGCTTGAAATTGAATGTGATAGAATTCAAATTTATGTTAAGAGGAAAAAAACAAATAAATAAGTAAAAATTTTGATTCAACTATAAAAATTTACAATGAAAAAATCAAAGAGGTGAAAGAGTGTAAATATCTAGAATTATATTAAATGAATAGTTGAGTATGAATGCACATGTTGACTGTATTGAAAGAAGTTGCAAAAGAGTTCATTTTCTCCACAGGTTGACTAATACAGTATCTGTTTTTGTTTATTGCGGTACAATTCTATTTTTTCTAAGTAATGAGCAATTTATTATTTAACGAAAATTACAAAATAGAGCTATTTATGTAAATCTCTACTTGAAAATTGGAGCATTATTTAGTTTGGGAGTAATAAAAATAAATTGTGACTGCTCTGATGAATTAGTTCATCAAGCGTAGTTGGATAGCCACATTTAAAGAAGACTTATTCTTGCAACCAACTCACTATGATCCTTTTTTGCAGATTGGAGAGTGGCGGTGAATTCTTATTCCAGGCACATGACGACTCCGAAATGAACACTTGGATTTCCAACATAAATTCTCACGCAGACGTCGAATCTTCGGGCCCCTCTCGCTCGCATACTTTGCCCGCGTCCGCGCAGAAGGAGGATTCCAAACGTCGCAGCTTTTTTACTCTTAAGAAAACGTAAGTATGCAGCACACATACTACACATGACGGAAATACTGGAATTGGAAATAGACGTTCTGTGACTCTCTCCGCCATTGCTAGATTTCTTCTCCACTGAACATCTTTGCTCAGTATGAGGCAGTGGAGTAAATAGGGGGGTGTCCAGTGTCTCAGACCCTCCAAAAAGTTACGATATATATTTCTTAGTTGCATTATAGCAAAATTCAGCAATTTAATATACATTTTTCTGGGTCGTTGTCAACAAAATAATTTATACGGGTATGTAAAAGGGAAATTTCATTTATTTAGAATTACAATTAGCCAAAACGTTCCCCTCCTGAAACAAGATTCTCATATAGGCAAGCAGTATGTGATTTCTACTCCAAGAACTTTAGCTATTGTAGATGAATGAACTCTTTCTTTTTGAATGTAATCAATTGGTATTTTATTGCAATAGTTGAAATTTTCATTGCTACTTCATGTCCAATATATAAATATCAATTATAGTAGAGATAAGAAATCAACTTGGAAGCATTTTTATTAGTGATGCACTGAATATTTGTTTGGTATTTGATATTTGGCATCTTTTTCACTATTTGTATCCTTCCAAATCATTCCGTTTTAGTGCCGAATATGTTCGATTCAAGTATTTCTATTTACTCAGCTACACAACACGGTATAGAACTAAAAAACAAAACTTCTTATATAAGATTTCATTTTATATTATGTCAAAGAGATCCTATGAAGAATGTGTTAAATGAAGCTGATGAAATAAAGCAATTAAACTTCTGATCAACATTTATTTTCAAACCTCAAATCAAAACAATATTTATTTTTAAACTTCGTCCCGATGTTTTATTGTTCACTGTAATGAGCCTTTTTCTTGAAGTACAAAAAATCACTTACTAGCAGCGCTAGTAGTTCGGTAGGGACAAATACTGCCTAATCCTCATATAACATTTGGTAAAGTACAATTCAAAAAGAATGTTTTTAACAGAAGATGTTCCTGGAGTAAAACTAAAATTTGCAACTGTAAAGTTTAACAATGTTGTAACATTAAAACGTTGGCTTGCATGCCGTAATTTAAAAGTAACTGGAAAAAGAGTGAATTAATAGATTAATAGTGAAAGTTAATAGTAATTGTGAAGATTACTAGTGAAAGAGTAGTAGATTCAAACTGTAATAAAAGAAATTTAAAATAATTATGAATTTCAGAGTAATTTCAAATATAAAGCAAATTCAAATCCAAGATGGAGTGGATGTAAACATTGACATGCTCTACGCACGTGATATTGAAAATCCCAAGAATTGGCCAGGGTCGTATTCAGAACCAACATCTTGTTGATCGCAAACATTATATACTTAGGAAAACTTTTTTAAAGTAACAGTGAAATGCACAAGTTTTGCAGTTTAACGGGAAAAATAGTATTTTAACAAGCTATATAGTATGCTATTTGGTATTGGCCCGTCATCGTTATTCATAATATTATTATGTTTACTTATTTCTACACTCTCATAGGCTTCCCGTAAAACATTGTAAATCGAAGCGCAACACACTCCAATTTTATCGGAAACTTTTGATACGACTTCGTCGACGTCTCAATTTCTTCCATCTCTTTCTTGAACACATTTAAAATCACTTCTTTCATCTCAACACTCAAATGTCTTTTTTTGGATCGTTTCCTGGCTGGACTCAGAGGATAGCTCACAGTGTCATCAGCAGTGTCTGTACTGGACATCTTGGAAAACAATTTTAAACAATATACTATAACGCACGTCACACAAACACGCAAACGACTGATTACAACCCTGTGCTGGTACCGAACTCGTACCAAGAAGGCAAATTCACCAATGAACGCTGCCCTTTCCATCTAACACTGGGCGATCACGTGAACATCACGCTTCGGTTTTGTTTTGTTTTCCTCTATCTTGGATTTGGATAGACTTTAGATGGTAATGAAATGAATTTAATTAAAAATAATGAATGAATATAATTTAATAAACGATTGAGTTTATATCTCATTTTAATCAATGGTAATTAACTATGAAAAGTTTAGAGCATATATATGAATATTTATTTATTTTTTGGACTGTTAAATCTCTCCTCTCCTTACATCTAACCTCAATAATATGAGGTTTTATAAATGGTATACAAAACACGTTTTCTTCCGGAAATCGATTATCCGACATACAATTCTCAAAACAGCAATGCTTTATTGGCGTTATACTAGCACAAAATTATTTTTTATATCAGATTTATATTTTTAAATAATAAGTTGTTATTACGTAAATAACACTGTTTTACATGTGAAAATTTTATATTTGTCTCTACTACTAGTGCTGCCTCTCGTGACACGTTATCTGTACTGTTCTCAGGAAAAAGGCTCATGTCGTGTCAGGGTTTTTTGCCTAATATAATTGTTATTCATAGCTATTCTTTTTAATTTGTATTAGTTCTTTTAGAGATTTCAAATCATTTTATATAATATTAGACAATGGAAATCCGAACTAATGAAATTCATCATGAAACATTGCGAATCACCTTCAAACAAAAATGTACTGCTCTGACGCATCTTGTAATTAATTTTTTGTTGGGTAAAACATCTAAAACCAAACTAATTTATCCCTTGATTTGTGTTCTTAGCTTCCTTTGTTTGAAAAAAAATGAGAAGCGGATAAAAACAATTAGTGTGCTATGCATTGAAAAACAACAACGAATTGTTTGTGATGTTTGTCATTTGTTAAGTGACATTTTTTGTTATATATAATCGATATTTACAATTTTAATGCAACGAAGGAGATTTCGTATCAAAATTACAAATGGAGCTCACATAATTTGGATCAGCTCGTGGAAAAGTTTTGTTTTAAATCCAATTGCATATCACCTTTTCAAGTATATTAAAATGTAAAATTGAATTGTTGAATATTGTTCAGTATATTTTAATCGATTTTTCTTTTGCAGATAATCTGTTCAACTGTTGGTCATACCTTATCTTTACGCTTTACCCGAGAGGACTTCAGTCCAAACTTCGCCCTTCTGTTCTTTTATATTAGCCTAATTAATATATTTTCTTCGTAGTTTGCACATTATAATTATTATAGTAAATTTAAATGTATAGTAATATATTATACCATGTGATTGAAATTTATCAGCTGGGGCACAAAATACTCCGTCTGTGAGCCAGTGGTTATTATTTATTAAATAATTGAAGTAAAGTTTAACGTCCCTCTGTATAACCTCCGACAGTTCTCGGCAGTATCTCCGCTGCCTTTATGTTTGTATAATTGTATACCTATTATTAAGTTGCAATATTTTTTTTAAGGCTTTGCTTAGCAAAGGACGGTGACGAGTCATTTTATTATATATTTCATTTATAATTTTAGAGTTATGTCTATTTTACATAAATGAAAATGTGTGCTTTTAAAATGGAGTTACAATAAATATTGTTTTTAGTATGTTGTTTTTTATTTATGTAACTCTGAGGTATAAAACACCAAAATGAGTGGATAAGACAAAGGAGGTGTCCCGAAACTTCGAAGTACACCGTCGAGAATGATTGTTTGATATAACTATATTTTGCAGAAAAAATAATATATGATTTCAATAGTAATACATACATAATTCAGCTTGATAACAATACATACAAAAAAGTTTTCTGGCTCTCTATTTCTCCATCATTAAACAAAAAATGTTGGAAATTTCCAACGGAAGGAATATAACTATAACGAAAACTCTTTACAAGACTACTCATGATGTGTTACTTGATGTACTCACATAGAGGGAAGTAGACTTTCTGTTACTTTCAGATCATGTAATAATTGAACAGAGTACAAAATTACGACATGGTTGACTCGATAATCCTATTTTAGTTCCAAATATCTGCATATATAATTCACCAATCTTAACTTCTGAATGGACAAGATCAGACGAAATTTACTTAAAGAGTCATCATTTTCAGTAATTTTCAATTGCAATTGCGACTGGCCGCCTTAGGGTGATTTTCGAACATATTTGATTTTCGAGGATTGAGTTCTCTGACGATCCCATAGATTGCCCTTACTCAGGCTTGTCCTTTAAAGGCAGTTGAATCCGGCAATCTCTCTGTTCCAATTTCTATGGGCATTGCTTCTCAGCAATTGGCCAGACTCCTCCTTTCCATAGTAAACAGAAGCTTCGTCTGGGAGCTCGTCTGCCTTGCTCAAGGCAATGCTGCCACCCTAAGTTTTTTTCATTCACTTTTTTTTTAACTAAAACACCTTATGTTTTACTGGTCGCCTTCTTCTCGGAAGGCTTTCGGATAAAAATAACACTAATACACATGTTCATATATTTCATAGAACTGATAACTACGTTGAATACGTCGACATCCTGCCTGGTTACTGGCGTAGGGGGCTGCCAGCCTCTTATATTTCACTTCAATATTTGTTTAAACATAAGTTCGTTTGAGATTACACTTTATTTTAAGCTTACACCTTTTGGACTTCACCCCGAACACGAGTCAATTCATTTGTGGTTCTGCCTAGCATCACCGATGAGACCTATGGCAGGTCGAAACAGCGCTGTCTGATATTAAATCATAAATGCGTTGTGTTTGTGCTCTGGTTTTCAGCTAGTTCTCAGCAAGCCATTATGGATGATGTTTAATAAATCACTAATATGTGGAATATTTACAAATATTCAAAAACAGTGATCAGACGTATATTATGGATTATGGCCTAATCACAAAACTAATCTCAATTCCCAAATTGTACAATATTGATACCTTCCCACCGCGACCACACTGTAGCATTATACATATTTTTTTCAGGTGATAACTTACAACACTATCCTATCACAAACTATAGTTTTCATGATTGTTGAGGTTTTCGTGTATTGAAAGACTTCCATGTATATTTATTAAGGCTTTTAGATTAAAAATGTTTCTTTAAGGCTTTTACTCCTGTTTATGGTACTTTCACATTCAACTGTATTCAAAAGGCAAACCTACCAATTTTGTCAAAAGTAAATTATTATATAATCTACACGAAGTCAATCCGAACAGCTTAATAAAAGACTAATGTACCGGGTCTGATAAATGTACTAGTTAGTAAGTACCATATAAAACCTCCCACATAAATATAATGATTAGACCTCGTAAATTATACCACGCCGCCCATGACATACAAAGAAACTCGTGCACGCACACGCGCGCGCGCGCGAAAACACACACAGACACACAATTTATCCACATCATTAGTTGAAGGTATCAGAATGAATCACACTGCGAGAGAAGATTATTTCAACTTCAAGAAGTTTTTAAGCAAATCATGTAGGCACCTCACATAAACTATTACAAGATAAAGTCTGAATACTCGGGCAACGATTATTATTGTATGAAAAATGGAATATTTTTGTTATCAATACTATCAAAACAGATATTTTTTGTTAGAATAAACAACATATCATTCAATAGAAAAAACACTGACATTTTCTTTTTATTCCTAGAGTTTTGCACCGCCATCTCGTGGCAATGATGGGGCGCTCAATAATGGAAACTAGAGATATCTTCCTGATAATAATTATAATACATATTATTATGAACTGGCCAAATGTTTTTTTATAAACGAGAAGTAGAGAGATATTTTTTTTATTTTTCATTTGGCTGACTAGCGAGTAGAAGAGTAGTTGTTTATTATTTTGATTAATGTTTATCTGAATTTTTTCGAGAAAACTTCAAAATGGAAGAGCATTCTAGACAATCATGCCCAACAATAGATATTTTAGAAAAGGGTCTGTATTTTAATTCAAATTCAAACACAGAAGTGAAAGAAAAAATAGCTGAATTTTCCAACTTTCTGAATAGTGTAGGTCGCATTTCTTTAATAAATGCTGATGAGGAAATCACTCATGAATTCGTATTTCTACTATTAACTTTGAAGAAAAATATCAAGCAAACACTGTCTGAGCTTGGGAAATCACGCAAGAGACAAGTTGTTTTTTGTGAGTGTAGTGAATGTAACCAAGAAATACCCATTGAATTTGGGAGCGATATCTGGTCTACGTTACAAAATCACGAACACTTTGAGGAGCGTTTTCACAAATTTTTAAGTGGAAGTCTTGAATCAGTACCTCTTGGAGTAGAAACGAATAGAAACGTTGAAGCGGTTCCTAGCACGAGCAACGCTTGCGATGATGTTAAGATTAATGACAAAACAGACAGCAAGATTGACCAGTGTGAAGTATTAGATGAAGAGGACGTGTCCATTCAAAATGTAACCGTTTCTTCTGAAGAAGATGACTATGGAACAAATGATTTCACATTCAGTTTCAAACCACCATATGACCCAGAAGTTGAAATGAAATTATATCCTGACTCTATAATGAAAGCCGTTCGAAGATTAGATAAAGTTCCAGGATATAGTATTCAAAGGTCAGGCCCGAGTAGAGGTGTTTGTCTCATATGTTGCTGCGATTTGATGACGCGAAGTAGATTTTCAAAAACTGCTATACTAGATCACGTTATGGGTCAGAGGCACATGAAGTTTTCCGCGACTCCTGAATGCTTGAGAATTCTGGAGGCTTACCACGAGGCTTTCACAAATCACGATCCCCCCTCTCAGGCACACCAAGTATACTTTAGACCAGATACAAGTCACAGGGTTATGTGCATTTTGTGCAATAAGTCTATCCTATGTAGCATGGTTACCGATCATCTTCTTACCAACAAACATAGATTGCAAGTTGTAGATTTATATAAGAAGAACTTAAATATATGTTATCTTACTAACCTGCAAGTGCAGGTATATGGAATTGTAGAGGAGCCAGATACTAGAAAACAGGAAGTTACAGCAAGTGCATTGGTCAATGGAAAAGCCACTGAGAAACCAAAAAAAAATTCTGATGAGAAACATGGTGCTCGTAAAAAGGAGAAAAAAGACACTGTCCAAAGTCCTTCATCTGGTAAGTTGATTTTCATGACATTATTCATTATGTTAAACTCTTGTTACTAAGACGAATTGCTGATTAAGCTATTGCATTGCTTGGTACAAAAATCTCAACTACAAGATTGAATCTTCTCATTCATTCTGTTCATCAATGAAAGTCTCTGATAGTCATTTTTGTAGTAAGGAACTAAATCGAAAATTAGAAAATGTGCTTTTATGGTACTTTTTCAAAAAATTTCAGTGAACAGACGTAAAACAAATAACTCAATGCCAAGTCTTGAATTCAAAGTGTTTTTTTTTGTGAAAAACAAGTAACATTTCATTTTTGTGACTGTTTGTAATGCAATTATATCTTCACAAATCAACCATATAGAGAACTGCATAAGCCTGACAGAAAAAAAAAGTTCTATTTGGGCAGTTAATGTGTTGAGCTAATTACTATATTCGTAAGGTTTGCTCTCAATTTTTAGAGTAAACCTTCATTTAAGTTCATGTCAGTAGAACTCAATTTTGCATTCAAAACAAAATGATGTGGAAGTCTTAATACCACATGTCTCTGTTCTACAAATCAATTATCACAACTATAGTAAGAAGAATTCTCTAGAACTGTGACAATTTTATTGAATATTTCGCAAAGTGTAACTTTTTGTGTTGAAAAAATTGTTTTTCAACAGCTACAACCTATAAATGAATTATAGGTTTGCATAGATACATCAACACCAATTTTATGAAAAGTAATTTCCCATTTGCTTAGATAATAAATGGATGATAATAACTGTTTGAATGGATAACAAAGACTAATTATTTGATAAGGTTTCATTTGTATACGTTTTTTTCTATTCTCAATTAGATTACGATATCCAATCATTCTACCCACCCAGATAATTGAAACAATATAATTTTAAACCAAATAATCTAAAGGAACAATTCATGAAAGCCAGTCTTCCCTTACCTACAGAGTAGGTTTATGGACTGACATCTATCAGAAAACAACTACTCTCCAGGCTTATATCACGAAGGGCGTTGGATTATAACCGACAGGTGTCAGTGCAGTATTCTTCACAGAAAAAATTCCTGCATATGCCTTCGGCGATACAACTGCCGCAATCAATTTTCAATTATTGGAACAGACACTATTGCAGAACGGTTTCAGGCTATTTGGCCTCTCGTCAGTGCAAGGTAGTTGTCCTACATTAACTCGAAGTCGATGATAAAAATTACCCCAAAAATATCTTTTTTGAAAATGTCTCAAAAACATAAAAAGATATAAAAAAAATCGAAACAAAAAATTTGGTATTCAAATTTTTTATAAAATCGTTCTGAATCACTTTTGACGTATTTGCAATAGATACAGAAATATTTGCAATGAACGATTGAGTTTTGTAACTCAACAGAGTGGCATATTAAAAAAATCACAAAAAATTGACAAAATGCGAATCTCTGGTATGTATTTTTTTTCATTAATTCATTCAAAAGTAATAAAATATTTATTTATAATAGCTACAAGGACTTCTTGAAAATTATAGAATCACAAAATCTAAAAAATTATCAGTTACCAACTTACTACCATAACAACTGCACTATTGAATTTTTACTCACACAACTTTATTTTTTATTGATATATGCCCTCACTTTGTACCTCCTCGCCCTCTATTTTTATATTGTTGTATTAATTTGCTAAAATAAAATTTTCTAATTTTTGCCTCATTATCGGTGATATTATCAGCTATAATATCCCAAGGACATTGATAACTAACGAAATAATTTTATCACAGTTTTCGAAAGCACGTTATTTGGTAACATCCCGACGCCGAAGGCGGAGGGATGTTACCTAAAATAACGTGCTTGAGGAAGTTGTGATAAAATTATGAGTTATTTATCAATGTTCGAGTATGTCCAGGGACTTTCCTAATGACATTTCAAGTATAAATCTTGGCTGTCTGAGTTGTTCTGCATTTCTAGTTTCATAATTATGATGATCTGAGTGGAGAGTAGTATTTTGTTTTTATGTATTTCTAACAGTGAGTAGAAAATCAACATACAGGGCAAAGACATTATTCCCAATTTTCTAAACAAGTGGTTGGCAGTGTGCGTCGAATGGAGCTGGAATGTTCCTCCTGACAAAAATCAAGTAGTTTTCATGAAAGAGCTCTAAAACAACGCATTTTAAACCTTTTTCTTTAAAAAAATTATTTAAATACTTAAAAAAGAGGAATGAAATAATGCATTCAACATTTAAAGGGATTTGTTTCTATTTCACTATTTGGCAACATCGGTTATAGCTAATAAAGGACAATGAATCTGTTACCTGTATGAGACAAACAAAGATGACATATTTCAGAGGCGTGCTGTTCTGTTTACTTATGTTCCGAGTTCCGAGACATTCTGTGACATATGACATTTTGTGCACCCAACCTATCTTCCTCTATATAAATAAATAACAAAACAACTGTTGATTATGTGGCTTGTGGAGGTGGTATTGAACTATATTTTATATTTTGCCTTAATTGTTGATTTATAAAGATAATTTTTCTTTTTTAAAAGTAGAATATCTAGGTACGTATGAATATTTCAACTTGATATAGGCGCTGTTGCCAATATGTGAATTAGAAACAAATCCCTTTAATAATTAAAACCCAACATTTGAAACATCAATTTGAATACTTTTCGAAGTGAATTTGAAAAACTCATGAATTAAACTCGACTTTATTTTGTTGAAACTTGCAATTGGTGTAATAACCCAAATTGAGGAACATTCCCCATTCTGCTTTGTCTTCGGTTTCTTTGGCATTTACAGGTAAATTTGAGATATCAGAATTTGCTTATAGCTCATTCTCGGTATAAGCGATCTGAGTTTATTAGTTAGATTTTCTAGTTATGATTTTTTTTAATTTGAAAAATTAACATTTTTCGATTTAAAACAAAATAAATTCCTCACTGTTGAATTATACATTTCGATCGTTTATTACAAATATCTCGTTTTCTTTTGCAAATACGTCAAAAGTGATTCAGGACAGAAAAGTGATTCAGGGTAGAAAATTTCAATCACAATTTTTTTTTGTTTCGACCTTTTTTTCATATCTTTTTATGTTTGGGATATTTTTAAAGAGTGATTTTTGAAGTAGTTTTTGATTATTTTTTACCCCCAATGAAATTCAACATTTTTTAAATATTATAAATCCTTTGAATGTACCAGGAAAATTAAGTGAGTGTTCAAATTTTGTGGGCGAGTTTTTTCAAAAATTTTTACGTTGATACACTCGTCTCGAATATATGTTCACAGTTTTAGCTGTTTAGCTTATTCACTTTGTTGGTGAGAGGCATAAAAGTTAGAAGTGTTTTACGTGTTCAGCGATTTTCTGCTATTGAAATAGACCTATTCATTTGTCATCAATAGTTCGTAATTTTTTGGCCAAAAACAACACCGTAATCATATCTCGGCCACCGTATTTCCCAGATTTGGCACCCTACGACTTTCTCCTGTTCCCAAGATTGAGGAGACCCACAGTGCCAAAGAACATACCAAAAAGTGCATATCAGAACTGCTTTGAGCATTGGAAAACACGCTGGTACAATATTATATCTTAGGGGGACTAATTTGGAGGGAACAAAATAGAAGATGATGAAAAAATTAATATTTTTTGAGAAAAATGAAAATTTGCTTCATTTTTTTTCAACTTTGGCCGCGGAATTTAACTTTGGAAATGGCCGCGGTGGTAGTGCGCCCGACTCACGATCGGAAGGCCGTGAGTTCGATTCCCGCCTCGACCAGATATTTTTCTCGAGAGAATTTATCTGGTTGAAGCTGGAATGATTCTGCAACCGTGTTAGGAATCACACGTTTAAAGGTAAGACCTCGTTAGTCCTCAGCTCGCACAAGGTTCTCAACTTCTGAGAGTTGTCGTTCGTATGGGGGCGACAGCTGATTAACGGAAAAACAGATTTTTTTTTAAATAGACCTCGATTGCTAAAATCAGGTTATATTGAACAATGCAGGTTTGTCTTTCGGATGGTGATTTGAATTATCATTCTATTGGATTATTTGCAACACTGCCATACTGGCAAATCTGATTTGCGTTTTTTACCGTGGCAAAAAAAAGTTTTATTGTGTCAGTATTTTACAAGATGGCCGGCAATGGAGAGCTATGTAAAGAAGCCTCAGAAATGTCTTTTAAATGTTGTGCGGAAAAAGGTGTCAAAGTTGCGATGTGCGTTATCTGTGGAAACATTTTTCACTTCAGTTGCTTGGAACGAATGACAAAATTTATGAAATTAGATAAAAATCGAATTGTGTGTTGTGAATTGAATTACCGCGTACAATTTGTTTGTCCTGAAAATGACAGTAAGGTCATACTCCCATACTATATTAAAGTGATCTGCAAAGATGTCATCGAAAGCTTGAAAGTTGATATACAGCTTTTGATAGGGATTATACGAGAAAAAGAGGATAAATACCAAGTTCTATTGGAAAATAAAAACCTCTTGGTTGAAAAAGTCGACACGATCACAAAAAAAAACCTAGCTTTAGAAAAACACCACGAGGAATGTTTACGAACTTCAAAATATTGGCACAAAAACCGAGTTGACAGTTTCTCAGGTGGATTGATTAGAGGTAACGAACAAAATCGCGATGGAGAAATCGAAACAATTGGAGAAGAAAAGGACTCTGGAAATTTGGAGGATGTCATCATGAAAAGTGGGGTATTTTCTGGATACACATATGCTATAGATAAAATAGGACTGGAAACTACAACTGATTTTGAAGACGAAGAATATTGGGGTTCTGCATCCGATGATGCACTTGGTGTTGAAGTCCTCAGAAAAGTAAGGAAAAGAAGTATCTCTGGTGTGAATGGTAAGAAATAGGGTCTCTCGATTGAACCATTTGTTGGTAACATCTTTCGTTGGTAAAAACAGCCTTCTGTAGTAGTGTAACAACAAAATATCGATACTTCTGTTTTTGTTTCCTAATACAAAGAGTAGTAAATGTTCATTATGAATGCAAAACTCTGACAA